AGGACAAAGTTTCTCTCATCAATGACAGAGGCAAAATGTGGCAAAAACAGCTACTCTGCAAACAGGTGGTTTAAAACTTTTATTTAAGCCACCAAAAGAACAGAGGAAAGGAAAACTGTATTTCTAAACACACAACACACACACACACACACACACACACACACACACACAGAGAAAGAGAGACAGAGAGAGAGAGAGCGCGCCCAAATATTCTACCAGAGTAAGAAACTCAAGGAAAAACCCCAAAACAAAGCAAATCAAAACAGGAAAAAGGAGTTTGCCTTAGATCAGAAATGCTGGCCTTGGCTTAGTATGTCTAAAATCACTATTTATAATTAAATTCTTCTCAATGGCATAAATTAAGGTACTAGAAAGAATTCACTTGAAAAGGCCATGTCATTTCAGATAGGACCTTATTTACAGAAAGAAAGGTGACATTTTTACAGAAATGAAGTGCAAAAGGAAATAAAAAACTGTTGAGAGTAAAGTACAGTTTATTTATGTTCTTCTGAGGGCTCTGCATTTTTTATGTTCTCAATACTTTGTTCCATTCTCCGCTAGGTTAAATTATTTCATAAACAGGGATACGACAGCTAAGGGAGGCTGCCAAAGCTGACAAGAGTTTTTACTTTCATACTCCATCTTTGCAAAGAGCAGCATTCAGCTACTGGAGTTGGAGGCTGTGGGCAGGTGTCCCAAAAGGACTTACAGGGGCAAATGGTAGGTACCCAGCAGAAAGCATGGGAAAGAGGTACTTCTGTCCCCTATAGCCCACCCCTCTGAACTCCAGAGCTTCTTCAACCACTGCTGCTCAGGACAGGTCCAGACAGGCTTTCTGAAATCGCCTGCGAAGTAAACAGGAAGATCCCACCAAAAGGCACACCCTGCGGTCACGGAAAGTCCTCCACTTGTCCCGCCTGCCCACGCGGGGCCCTGGATCCGCGATCCTCCGCCTCCCCCGCAGATCTCCAGCCGAGGCAAAGTTTCCCGCGTATCCCACTCGCGGGCGCGGCGCCCACGGAGGCCTGGGGTTGAGACCAGCCGGCCCCCCACCCGCCCCGGGCGAGCCGGCGCCTGGTCGGTACCTCGATGTCCGGCGCGTCCTTGCTAAGCACAGGGGCCATGGCAGCGCCTACAGTCTGGAGTCTCCTACACACAGACCCTGCCTGCGTCCTCGAGCGCCAGCCAGAAACCGAAACGACAGCTTGCGGGAACGCGAGTGGAAAAGCTGTCGGAAGCGAGGGCCGGCGGCGCGGGGGCGGGGCGGGGCCGGCGCGGGCGGCGACGCCCCCAGGGCGGGGCTGCGCGCTCGGTCCCGCGGCTCCGGCTTCCTGTGGAGCCCACGAGCCCCCTCGCTTCCAGAGCCCCGCCGGCCCGCGCTCCGCCTGGCCGCTCGATTTCTGCGGGTCGCAGACCGGAGCCTTGCTCTGGGAGCCAGTAAAGGCTGAGCTGGGTAGACGGGGACCGGAGTGAGGGATCCCCGGGATTAACCGTAAAAGCTGTAGCGACACAAGTAACAAATTGTTCCTTTCGTTTCCTCCCGTGTGAACCCCGCGAGGGGGAGAAACGTTGTCTTAGAAGCAACTGGATCTTCAGGAACTTCCTCGGGATGAGAGAGTAGATGTAATTCAGCAAGTAGATAGGCTGGCAGGACTCTGGGCCCCATCGAGGACAGGAAAGCACTGTCTTCCAAGAGTGCACAGTCCCTGGGGCCGGGGAAGAGAAGCAAGCACCAGTAGCTACAGCCAACAGCAACTTGCAGTTAAATGCTGTTAGTGTACATGATCAAGGCTGAGGGTTTTTTGTTTTTTTTTTTTTTTTTTTTTTTTTTTTTTTTTTGTAGAATAATCTATTCATGTCTGTTTTTAAAAACCATTATTCTAAAATATAAAGCTCTTTTTAATAGTTTTTATGTTTTGTCATAGAGGTGGCTAGGAAGAGGGGAATGATTTCACTTAGAAATCGCCCCAAATCAGAAAATATTCACTGCTTCTTTGAGGATGTCTGCGCTCCAAACTTCTGTCATTTTCTCCCTGAGCTGAATGCATCCTCTTCTCTCATCACATTTTGTACTTACCTCTATTTAGGTGTTTATGACACTTCATCTTCCAGGCAGATTGTGACTCCATGGAGTCAGGTATTTCCCCTTTGTTATTATTTTTTTTCATTAGTTAATGCATCCTTCCATACACTCAATACATATGTATTGAGCAGCTTCAATGTGCCAACACTGTTAGGTTCTCAGATACAGTCTTCAAGTAAAGATATTACTGTTATTGAGATGAGACTCAGTGTAAGCACTGGAGTCAAATGTGATGCTGCTTGGCAGATAAAACAGAAATAGAGAAATTACTTAATATAAATTTTTGACTGGAGAAGGTTTCTGTAGACAAGCCCTCTGACTGCCTTCAAGAACCAACAACTTACTAGGGGTCCAATATCTTGTTCCTGAATCAAAATTGTTATTATGAGAAACTAGATAAAGTTAAATAGAAACCTTAGGGTCTCCTTGACTCCATTACCTCACATCCTCATGAAATTCCTTCCCAAGTTCTAAAGAGTCAACCTCTTGAGTACATCTTGAATCACTCTTCATTTCTCCATCTTCAATCATCCATCATGGTCAAAGCCACCTGTATTCCAGTCTTATCTCTTACCTCTTCTCTACTCCAGAGTAAAGTATTAATAGGCTCTTCCCTCTTTCTTCCTCCCCCATCTCCCCCCCCCACAGGATATAAATCTTTCAATGCTGCATTATAGTCAGAATATAATGCAAACTTCCTAATGACCTCTAGACAACCTGTCCTTACCTCCTCTCCAACCTCCCCTAGGGCCACTCTTGCCCTGACTCATGTTCCAACCACAGAATAATCTTCTCATCTTCCATCCACTTCCCTCCCTTTGTCATTGTCCTCCACTTGAAATTCTTCTGGTTCACTCATGCTTTAGATGTCAAAGAAGGCTTCTCTGACTCACCCTTACCACAGCAAAAATTAGACCCACCCTCTCTGTATTGTTCTAGTTTATAATACCATATTTTTTATGATAGACCTGCCAAATTTTGTTTTACATTTATTTGAATGTGACTTATTTAATATATGTCTTCTATTTAGGGTATACACTTCAAGAAAAGAGGGCCCATGTTGATTTGGGTACTCAGTTCTTAGCCTGGGACTGAAACAAAAGACCAAGAACACTTGGTGATTGAATAAATGGAATAGACCCTGAAGTTTGTTATGCACTAAGCAGTTCATTTGAGAAACCTTAGATTCACTTCATCATGTCTTCTTCTTAGTGTTCCACTTATTGCTGAGAAGTCACAATATCTGTCAATGAATTTCTAGTTAAAATATGTCAAATTAACTGCTTTCCTTTTCAGGCGGTAATGTTTCAAAGTCAAATGTTCTTGCATCTCCCTATAACCATACCTTACTTACCTCCAAAGTTATCTGTATATTTTAGAGATACACACACACACATGCAGATAAACATATACATATGCACATATTCATATATCCAGAGATAAAGGAATATTTATGTCCTTTATATATGTATACATAGTAAATGTATTGGACAAACATATAACATATGTATGATGTATATGATTATATTATATACTATTCCTTCTCCAGTTTAATGGGTAAAATTCAATGTTTAGTTTCTAACCTTCAGACATATGAACTTCTGTACTCTTTCAGGGTAATAAACAATAATTGATTTATGAGTATAGAAATCCAGGCTATCCCATGAGTTAGACACTGTCTCCATATTTTCTGTGATAATTATTTTCCTAAAGTACCACAGAATGGTAAGGGTAAGTCCAAAATATACTCTTTACCAAGGTAAGAGCTTCAGGAATGACAGCCAATAACTAAATATAAAATTTAAATGCTATTTTATGATACTCTAACTTTACCAAACAGATGTGTCTTGTTCTAAGATATTTAATTAAAGCATCTAACCACATTACTCACATGCCACACCTATACTCTGTGATCAGTGATTGAATTTAATAGTATTTAAATCCATTGAAATTCACATTGAATGCAGTTGTACCTGTAAATAATCCAAGCTGTTTAAAGCTTACTGCAAATGCATTCACACCACACTTTTAAAAAGTTGTAAATTATGATGGCATTTGTCAAGCTGTCCCTCCATCTGGAAGCACAGTCAAATATCAGGTGTTCCACATTAATTTTTTGTAGGCTTCGGTGAGACAGCTCATCTCTCAACTTAATAGTTTACAGTACATGAATGAATATTATTATTATCACCATAGTCAGAAGTAAGGCTGATGAGTCATCTTTAATTTCACATCTGAAAAGTTATTCAATATCCCAAATTTAGAAACACAATAAAAATTCAGTTTTCCATATGCCTTAATTTTCTCTTTGTAGCCTAGCTTTAGACACCTATTTTTGAACACTTTTTGGAAGTTGATTTTCTCCAGAAAAATTCAGAGATTTCAATTGATTATGAGACGCATTTTCCCCTCCATCTGATTTTATAGGGCCAAGTAATCATGATCCGGGCCATAATGACTAAAGATCAGTTAGATGCAAATATTTCCAGTATTCCTACTCCAAAAGACCATGAAGCACATATTAGTTTGTATTTTATTGAATAAACAGGGAATAATTACTTGATTGTCTATAAGCGTACATTATGTAAGTATCAAAAATCATAGGTAGCACAGAACTACAAATACCTCATAGAAATGTACTCAACAATTGTTTTTGAGTGCTATTGTTTCAGGCGCAGTGATAGGCATTAGTGATACCTCATTGGACAATAAAGACATTTGTCTCTGTTACCTTTAGCTGCTACTGGTTCAAAAATACATATTGCCACTTAGTGACTTTGAGTAAGTGGTTTAACTGAATGGGGTTATTGTGAGAGTCAGGTGTCAAAATGTATGTGATAGTAGTCTGCAAATTGCAATGGGCCATATAATTAATGTAAGTCAAATATTAAAAATTTAAAGCTTCAATTCTCCAGTGCTCACATTCTAGAAAAACACAATTGGAACATGATTGCCTATGAGCAATTGGGGTAAAATGCAGTGTGAGTGAGAGTTTTATAGCATTATCTAACTTTATTAAAGTGGAGGGAAAACATCCTCTGGAATGAGAAATCTCTGAATTTCCCTCACATCTTATAAACCTTTTCCTCAAGCTTGCTATTTCTTTCTTTTAGAAGTTTCCATAATTACAGCTGCTGGCATTTAAAGCAGTTTCTTTGTTTTCTTGCTGGAATTTTACTTTTTCATAATTTCAAGTTCATTTGTATCTGGAGTTGAGACAGAACCTTGCTGTAAACTATCTGTTGTTCCTTTTAGTTGTCTATAGTGAATGTGGTGATGTACCTCACAGACCTGAAACTCCACCCACCCCCTCTTACCTGTTCAAGACCCAGGCACTCATTGCCTGAACTCCTGCAGGTGTTGGAGATTTACAGCTCTCTGCCGAGTCCCTCTTTGGAAATTGCCTCTAGCTTAAAAGGAGCCATCTATCCAAGGTTCATGCCTCTTCCTACAGTAACATAAATCCAATAACTATTCCCATGAAGATATAAAGGCCTGACTCACGCCTTAACTCAAAGACTTCTTGGAGCAGCCATCCCAACTTCAGAGGTCCCTAAATAGATCAATTAAGACATTTGTTGAGTAGTAGAGTTGGATTTCTCCCTCTGTGCATCTTCCTTCATTGCTCTGCCCCACTAGTCCTCATCCAAACAATGCTTCCCAATAAAACTTCCTGCATGCACCTATCTCTTAGAGTCTGTTTCCTAGGGAACCTAAGCTACGTTATTACCATTGTAAGTTATTTAGTGAGTGGTATACTGCCTGTAAAATGTGCTAAATTACCCTCACGCCTAGATATAAAAATTTACATAACAAAAATCTGTTTATTACTATGTTCTGAGATTTTTCTGTATTTGTTTATTCTTATCACAAATAATGGTGTACCTAATACAGGATAGGTGCAGTGAAAACCACTACAGGTAACAACATGATGAGCAAATTGGAAGTGAACTATATGTTCATGCAGCTAGCGGATGAGTTAAGAAAATGAACATTTGTCATATAATCACACAAAAATATAATAGTTACTGCAGATGACAATATCAAGGAAAAACAGAGGGCTGTTATAGCAGAAGGACCAAGAAAATCACAGGAGGAGTCCTTGAGGAAATGACCCTGTTGTTCATCTAAGGGACAGCAGGAGTTTAAAAGGCACAAGGAGTCAATCAAAGTATCTGGGTGAGGGAAGGAAATTTCAAAGGCTCCAAGGCCTCCTGACAGAAAGGTCTGGAGGCCCCAAGGTTCAGAGTTCAAGCAACTAGTAGTAGAGGGACACACTGGGTATGTCTATAGAGACTTAAGTCTATACGAACTTAAGCTTTGTGTAAGATTTTGAACTTTATCCTGTAAGAACCAGGAAGTCATTTTTAAAGCAGAGGAATGATAGGATCAAAGTGTGTTTGAAGTATCACTCTGATTGCAAGTTATGTGTAATTGTACATTCACATACTCATTTGAGTGAATGTGTGAAAATCAACCCAGGTAAGAAATTGCCGGGCATGGGCTCAGTCATTTCCTCCACATGCTAGTCCACATGCTACCAAAAGAGTAAATTCTTATATTATGAATACTATTGTTATTTAGCATGTTATAACACTTAAATAATGAACTCTGTTTTTATTTAGAGACTGGAAAGTGAAACCATACCCTATAAAGGTTAAAAAGGAGATCTCTGTCTCTCAATCAATGGCTGTTTTTCTATTTTCCAACACAAAGCAATAATCATTCATGTTTACTCACCTGAATAGTGAATGGCATGCTATTCTTCCTCCCACTGCAATTTGTTTCATAATGTTTTCTTAGTGGGTCTGATCTTGTAATTCTCCACACCTAACATAGTACCTAATACACAATGGGTATGTAAATATTTAGTAATAATTTTTATATTTTATTCTTAAAAACTCATTGCTAACAAGTATTCATTATTTCTCTAAATATGACAATGAGTGTAGAAAGGCTAAGAGGAAAATATTTAATGGACAATTAACATAAAAGAATAAAAACAGTTTATAAAAATGTAAAAACTAAATCAAATAATCAAAGCAATTCCAAAAAATTATGACAAATGATCTTTTCCCATCTAAGACTCATAAATTCTTTTTTAGGGATTGATCAAAGTGTAGAAAAAGTAAGAAGTTAATAAGATTTATAGTGAGTAAAAACTTGGTGCAGTATATAGGTAGGCAATTCAGGTATGCATAACTGTCTTAGTCTATTCTAGCTGCTATAAAAATACAATAAACTGGATAGCTTATAAACAATAAAAAATTATTCCTTACAATTCTGGAGGCTGGGAAGTCCCAGATCAAGACATTGGCAGGTACTGTCATTGAAGGCTTGATCTCTAGTTCATAGATGGTACCTTCTACTTATTTCCTGGCCTCTTTTATAGGGGCACTAATCCCATTCATGAGGATGCTTATGTTCATAATTTAATCACCTTTCAAAGGTCCCCACCACAAAATGTTACATTGGTGATTAGGGTTTAAGTTATATTCGGGATTGGACATTCAGATCATAGCAGTAGCCAAATTTTAAATATTTGCATTCTCTTTGATTCAGCAACTTCATCTCTCGTGTTTTTATTTTTCAAAAGGAATCATTCTTGTATGTTAAGTTTATCCAAAAACATGGTTCATTCCATAGATGTTTATATAAAAATAGAAAGATAATAACATGTATGTCATGATAGGTGATTGATTAATAACTGTAGTGAATCCATATAATTCGAATTTAAGCAGTCATTAGTAATGAGGATGTGGGAAAATATTAAAAATATAGAAAGACATAAATCTTTATATATCAACAGATCAAATAACATTATATTGTAGGGTTTAAACATACATGGAAAAGAAACTAATAGATATCAGCTAATTGTAGAAAAAGTAAAAGTTATTTTAAAAACTCCATTACATGAGAGAAAACATACCAATGCACATACTTTTCATAAAATTGTATGTGTATTCATATATGTAAAAACCTCAATACTTCTACTCTGGTGCTTCACACATATTAGTGTAGTTTTTATATTATGTATTATATATGAAAAAAAACTAAATACCAAAATTGTCTATAATGTTCTACAGTTTATTCTATCTAAAGTAACTACTAATGTCATCACAGTCTTGGCAAAAAAGATTTTAAGAGTTATATAAGCTGGCAAATAGAATTTTTAATATTATTCTAGTGATGGGTACAAATTTTTTAAGAGTTACAGAAACTGGAAAATAAAACTATTTTCTTGTTACTTTAACTAGACAAAATAATCTGAATGTTCAAATAATGTTCTATTACCAAAAAAGTGTTTGAACATTTTGGTTTATTTAATCTATAAAATAATAATAATGTCAGTCTTTTGCTCCAAACCAAAAAAATCCATCTCACTCTGTAGGAAAAAGTCCTTTCAGTGGTTCACAGGCAGTGTGATCTAGCCACTGTCTTTTCTCTCTCCTGTTCCTTCTGTTGTTCACTCCAGTCCCATCCAGACAGGGTCCCCCACTTGCTGTTTATTCTGCATGCAATAGTATCCACCACACATTCCAACAGCTACCTACCTGTCAGCTATAAGTGTTGGCTTCAAGGCTACTTTCTGCACAAGGTCTTCTCTGACCACCATATTTAAAATTGCAGCTCCCATTTCTTACATTCATTATGTAAGAATAATGTTTCCTGCTTTATTTTTTCTGTTTTCCTGCTTTATTTTTCTCCATGGCACACACAAAAACGACAATTTTAGTTGTCCTCATTATGTGTTTTTTTATTGTCTGCCTTTCCTACTACAATATAAATTTCTTAAAATTCTTTTGTTAGTACCTGGAATCATATAGATGTCCTTCAAATATGTGTTGATTGAATGAACAAATGGATTTAAAATCGACATATGTGTGTACTTTTCCAATAGCACCCACTCTAGTGCATCTTTTGATGTTTAAAAATTGAAACTTATCATTTATGACAATCAATAAGACTCTAAGCTAAAAGTTTTCTCTGAAACACATTTCCTCTCCTTATCTTAAGAAATCTCTTGACAATATTTGATAAATATAACCTTCCATGCAAAGTACCTATTTTTGGTAAATGTGAAAACATTTCCCATTTCCCTATTACTCATCTTCAACACATTTAGAGTTTCATTAGTTTTGTTTTTTTTAATTCTCTGAGTAGTCTATTCTCCATTTATTGAAAATGTTATTAAATTATTTCCTTTTAATATTTGCATTCAATATACAGAGTTCAGGTGAAAGATTATTTTTAGTTTATCTTAGGCAGAATAACAACTCATAAAATATTTTAACATTCTTTTAAAATAACTGATATATTACAAGTTTATATCATTGTATGTGTGTATACATACCTATAAATGATGGTGATTATGTGTGTAGACATATAGACAGACAGATCTAAGACCTCAGCATCCTTTTCCACCAATTGCTCAAAATGACTCATCACTGAACTCATAAATTCAACTATTTAGTTTTAGGAGTCACTTGAAAGAACTTAAAGTTTAGGTGTTGATGCTGTTTTTCTCTTTTCTTGAGGTGGGGAGGGTTGGGGATTGCTGATCACTGTTGCTCTTCCAAGTAGCACAAATACATTACACAATGTGATCTTTGATAAATGTCCAAATGGATTTGAAAACTAAGTAAACAGAACTGCTTTTTGAGTTCCATAATTTATTCCAGCCATCTGTGTCTCTCTCTCACACACAGACACACACACACACACACACACACACACACACACTCATACACATGTATTTCTTAAGAGCTTTATGATTTTCTTTTGCCCACCAGTAACCCAAAAGCACCTTTAGGATAGAACAACATTAATATATTTCAGGTTTGACTTTGGTTCCTTGAAGAATATAATACATCTTTCCATTGAGAAAGATTTTGCAACAAAACCATTTGCAATTTGGAGGTTTAAAAAATGTGGAACCAAAAACATTCTCTTGGCATCATGCTTTCTATTTAAAGGCCACCAAATGTTTCTTTCTGAGAGATTGTATTGAACGGTTAGGATCTTGGCATCCACTATTGTTCTAGGGAAAGATTTTCTGGCCCACACTTGTTGTTCCTGGATAATGAATGACTAGAGTATATGGACAGAGCCACCTTCCCATCTGTACAAGTCTTAACTACCATCGATTGCTGCCTTGCATCCTCTGTTGGATCACGCATGCTTAATCATTAATTTTACTTAGCGCTAATAAAAATAGCAAACTTTATTGATCATGTACTGTATGCTAGGACATTACACGTAATCTTTGATTTGATTATCACAATAATCTGAATTTAAAGATAGGTAACTGATACTTATGTGTTATATTACAGATTCTGACATTTAATTTTTATTTTTGGTGGGTGTTATTAAAATAACAATAGAAATTTGTAGATTTTATTTGTTCCAAATGCAGTATAGTATATAAAGTGTATTTTCAGTCCTCATGAATAATTACACTTTTAATTAGCATTCATGTTTTGTTAAACGGTGCATTATATTGTTCATATTAATTGTCATATAGTTTTAAAAAATGAGGCTTAGCAATGCTATATACTCACAAGACAGAAAAGGGTGGTGGGTGCTGGAATCTTGCCTAGGATTCCTTAAATCAGTACACCTTCAATTTTACTGTTCTTTCTTAAAGTAGAGTAACATATTCCCTTGTAGAATTCATTTTTCTGTTCAACTCAAACCTATTCCTTTTTAGTCTAGCCTGTGACCTATACTAATTCTGATGTTTGGAGAATTATAATATATATGTCATATTTTTTATGCTACAATAAGAAGCAAACACACATATTATATGACTAGATATGTTATTTTATGACCATATGTTATCAGTCACATCCTAAGTAAATATATGTATATTTATATATTTGCAGTTGATATATATAGTAATGCCTATGGGATGAGCTCTATGACAGATTTTGACACAAATATAATGTGCTAAATACTATATCATTTTCTCCCATCATTGAACTAACATAAATTGCTAAGCATAAAACGCAGATTTCTGAGTAGCTCATATGATACAGTGATTCAAGAAACAACTCTTTAAGGCAGTTTACTCTTATAATAAGAAAAACATAACTTAGCCTACAGAAGACAAACCTAAGTAACCTTGAATAAATTATTGTGTTTAAGTATATTTTTAAACTAAGAATCATAAGAAATTTTTTTCTATTATGTTAATGGGTCAAGAAATAAGATCAGTAAATTAAGAGACAGTTCAACTGAATGTAAGAAAAAAAAACTTCTCTATGTCAAAGACAAAACATTAATACAGACCACTAAGAAAGATGTGAAGTCTTTATACTTACAAAGATGCACAAATAGCAAGCAACTATTTACCCCAGACCTCTCAACATCCACCAAAATAAGCTGTTGAACTGCAAGATCTCAAGAAACTTTTTCTAATTTTTTGTTGGTATAGGCGTTATTAACTCTTCATTTTCTTTTACCTTTCTCTACCATTATGATCACAATACCTTAAGGCAATACTAATTTGTGGCCTTTATTTTTAAACATATTTGAATATAAGACTATTAACTGCATTTCTCTTAAAACTTATAGACAGACTAAATCTGCTTGATAATTTCACTGATTAATGTGATATTTCATATCAGGAAAAATGAAAGTTTATACAACAAATGTTTCCAGGAAAATCGGTTGACTGTAGCTTCTTTTTGTAATACTGGGATTCAAACCCAGGGCCTTATGCATGTGGCAAAAATAATCTTGGAGTTACACCACAGCCTTTTTATTTCATAATTAGATGGGGCCTTGCTAAGTTACCTGGGCAGGCCTTGAAGTTCTGACCTTCTGCTTTCTCCTCCTGAGTAGCTGGAATTACAGGTGTGACATTGGTTTAAAGAATTAAATATTGCCTTTTGCATCACAAAAGAGCTAAAATAAAATAGAAATAATTATGTGTCTAAACTGGACATAGGAACAACATAAGCAAATAAATAAAGAAATAATAAATTTTTAAAAGAAGTCAAAATGGTAGTATATAAGCCAGTTTTCAAGAAAAAAATGTAGATTCCAAAATACACCACATTTATAACACATGAATGATGAATGAGAAACTTTTAAATTATACCACTCCTCTGTTCAAAACCTATCAGTACCTCTTCATTAAAATTAAAGTAAAACCCACATTCCTTAGAACAATTTGCAAGCATTGAGATGATCTGAACCTTGTTGTATTTCTGATGTCATGTCCTCTTCATTCTTCCACTCACACCATGTCAGTCACTGAGATATTACTCTTTATCCAGCATGCCAACTTCTTAGGTTTTTCTGTTCTTTGTCTTTGGATTAATATAAAAATTGTACAGAGCAGGCAACCATTCAAGGATGTCCAATCAAAATATTCCATAGGTAGGAAACAGCAAGTGCAACGTCTTTGACTTCTCTCTTTCCATCATCTACTCCTGAATATACATAGGCAAAAGTGCACATCAATGTGCAACTCTTTCTCCCAACTGCTTTCTTCACCTTATAAACTGATATTATATCTATATTGGTATACTTTCTTTTATCTGCTTTTTATATATCATTAGTACTTCATATTCTTTACACCTGGAATAGGACATAACATGATAGACATTTAATAAATAATCCCTTCACTTTACTCACAATTTAAAATAAAGTAGATTTTATTTCTGCAATGTCAAAATCTGGTGAAAATATTTGTTTATGGTTGTGACTATAGCCAAAGTCAATACATTTATGATGGAATATTATGCTTATTATGTAAAGTGCTATAGTCTAAGGTGAACTGGAAAGTAAAATTTGCAAAACTCATACCATTTATTCTTTCTAAAACTGAATCAAGGCTATGATCTTTGGGGAAAGATGCATTATTAAAAAAACTTATCGTGAACTTCTTTGCTGCATATAAGAAAGCATATCATGTTTTAAAAATGTGATTCTCTGTCTGATGTGAGAAGAATTTATTCCATCCCTTATCTGAGAATTTCATTGCCATTTGCATGTTGCCTGGAATACAAATTGTACTTAGTAATCAATCAGTGTTTAATTGCCGCTCAAGTAAACCCTTGTAATCAGACTTGATGTAAAAATGTTAAGGTGTTCAAAAAGCATAAGGTGGCATTTTCCCCTCCTTCTTATTATGCCTGTGTAACTTCCATTAATACTAATAGGAGGCACAGCTGGTCGTCAACAGGAGATTACAGGTTGCTGTTTAAATCATATTTTATTTTTATACCTTGGCAAGATTTATGTATTGAAATCAGGTGGCCAGATTTTTGCTGCTGTTAAAAATCTTTTACTCTGAAAGAATGAGATGGAGGGGGGCAAAAATTGAGTCTCATATTTTTTTATTTTAGGAATAAAAAGACTCAAAATCCAAGCAGCAGCTTGTCCTTATACAGCAAGTCTGTCTTATTCTTTAGCACCAGCTGGAGTCCCATTTCTAATTTGCTGTGAAGAATTAAGTGATTTGAGACCCATACCCTGGAGTATTTGACCTCCAATGTCAACCAGCTAGCTTGCAATTCCCTTGGCTGGAAAGTTTCTCCAGAATTGATTTGAACTAACATCAGTTAAAATACTTTGCAATGTAGTAGTAAATATCATTGCAAATCTGAGTATGACTTTATAACCATGAAAATAAGTACACAGTAGAATATTAAAGAAAAGCGTTTAGGCCCTCCAAGGGCCTTAGTGATCGAAAATGTTGTGATACTGGAAACTTTCACCTCAAGGTCATCCATCTGACTCTGGCACAACTGGGTGGCATTTTGGCTGAAGATGGGTGTTTGTAGCTCATGTGAACTGGGTCGGTGCTCTGGAGCTCATTTCTTTGCCATCAGGTCCATTTGTCATAAAATAGCTATTTCTGGTGTTCTCAATTGCCACAACGTTGATAACCCTAGAGGAGAATAGAAGCACTAAAAGTGTACAGTTAGTGCAGTATCATTGTTACCCATGCACAAACTACATTATGCCACATACTGCCTTAAGTGTATTATGTACATTATCTCATTCAATGCTAAATCAGTCTCAGAAGATATTATTAAGTTTGTTTTACAAAAAAATAAATTGTGTCTTCAAGAGTTGAATCAAATATCAAAGTTTCAAGCTGATATTTCGAACTCCACAGCCTATTTTCTTAACCAGGATTGAACACAATAGCTTTAAATCCTAATATTCTATTATTTGATTATCCTCCTTAAGCATCTGAAGATCTAGCCTGAGATTTTACCACAATATGTCAGTTTTCCCACATGAAAGTACTATGCTTGTGCATTCAGCTCAGTATTTTAACACAGATTAGAATGAAGGAGAACTGGGTTTGTATGCTATTATATGCCAATTCTTGCTTATTTAAGTTGTTGTCACTATTAGATTGAGTGCTAATATTCTAATAATTACATATTTTTTCGTTGACATCATATAACATATTATTGGGCACTGAATAACTACTCAGTAAGTTCCTGCAGTTAAGAGTTGATGCACTAATAAAATTAAAAGCATGAAGTCATAAATACTCAGAGTTTTGTACCTTTGCAAATCTGATGGGAATGTGTCAGGGATAGTATACTGGTGATAAAGTATAAAAAGGCAGGGCTTGAGTTCCTTCCTCAGCGATTCACAAGTGACTAGTTTTTCCATCCTTGTTTGGAAGGATGAGGAATATAGAAAATGACTGATCAAATATTCTCCCAAATCTTATCATGTCATATAACCTGAGCTTTGAAATGAGAAAGCTAAGATTTTATTCTTTTTTTCTTTTCTTCCTTTCTTCCTTCCTTCCTTCCTTCCTTCCTTTCTCTCTCTCTCTCTCTCTTTCTTTCTTTCTTTCTTTCTTTCTTAATCAGTTGCTACAATTTGGATCTGGACATTAAAGGACCACTTGTTAAACAAAGACCTGGTCCCCAGTTTTGTGCTATAGGAAAGTAATAGAAATCCCATAAGGTAGGGCCTAGAGGGAGGTCTTCTTGTTATTTATGGATTCCCTTGAAGGGGTTTATAGGACCCTAGCCTCTTTCTATCTTTAGTTTCATGGCATGAGGTAACAGCTTTTCTCTGCCAAGATGTGCTGCCTCATCCAAAAGCAATAGATCTAGCCAATGTATCATGTATTGAAACCTCCAAAACTGTAAGCCAAAGTAAACTTTTTCCCTTTATAAATTGATTTATATCAGGAATTTGTTACAGTGTGGAAAGGTGACTAACACACTGGTATTCTCATTTAACAGCCTCTAGCTAAAGCTAGAATCCTACTGAGTAAAAACATAGAGGAGGAAAATAGGCAAAAAAATTCATACCCATTTATCAAAATATTACTTGGTAACAGATTTTTCTTTGTGTATGTTGCTGATGTTGTGTTAATGTTGTTGTTCACTTTGGAAGAAATGGTGTTATTTTCCAAAGTAGTAATTCCCTTTCTGGAGAAATTACCAAACTCAGAAATCCTGCATACTAGGTACTCACAGCTGATATCCCAAATGTAACTGGTCATATTCTGCACTATGATACAGTATCATCTAATAAAACCTTACTGTCCAGTGTTTATTTGGGACCCTAGAGCCCAAATTCTCCTCTAAGTATATATATTTCAATCATATTTTCTAACTTAGAGGCTACTTGGAGATGTAGGTGTTTCCAATAACATTTCTTTTAAATGTACTTTTAGAAGTTGTGGTGGTGTGAGAGTGGATATGGATATTTGTTTGTTCATTTGTATGCTGGTTGCTACTTGAGAAGAAGCATTTTTTTCTTGTAAATGTAATTCCCTCCCTCTTTCCATCTGGTTCCTGGGAAGGAAGCCCTGCTATTTTATTCCTAAAGACTCATTTTCCAATCATCCTGCTCATCAAACAAGCATAGATAAATAGATTATTTTGTCATTCTGGTGGAGGGTTTCTCAAACCAATAAGCTGTATGTCTTGAGATAAGAATCCATATTATGAGAGAGAATGGGAGAGGATAGTGAAAAGTTTATGTTTTGGGACATGTGCAGTGTGTTAGGTTTTTGTTGCTATAACCAAAATATATTAAAAAAATCAAGAGAGGAATAAATTTGTATTCACAGTTTTAGAGGTTCAGTTCATGGACAATCAAGTCCTTTCCTCTGGATGCAAGGTAAAGTGGAATACCATAGTGGAAGGATGTGATAGAAGAACATTGCTTTGCTCAAGTAGCCAGGAAACAGGGAAAGCAAGGTGAAGCAGCCACAGGGAAGATGAACCCTTCTGTGACCCAACTCCTCTCGCTGCGCCCCACCTGCCTAAAGTTACCCTCAGTGAGTCCATTCAAACTAGAATGGAGTAATTAGGTTATAATTCTCACAATCCAATCATTTCATCTCTCAATATTCCTGCATCAGCACAGGAACTTTGGGGAGCCACCATGATGTGGTCCTCCATCTTGAGAGGAAACAAGAAGGAGTAGAAAAAAGTAAAAGAATACAGTTTCCACAGAGTAGAGCCCCCCCCCCCCCAGTATGTAGGGACTTAATAGAAGGCTCCATGGATATCTGAAAAGACTGGGCCCAGTATTTTTACCATTCTGAGGATCCTGAAAAATATCTCTCACAGCTAAGTTAGGCAGTGAAGAAGTTGGCCTTATACTGGAACCATAGCCATCAAAGATATTATGTTTTCTAGGCAGAAGTCCTGACAAAAATAATAAAGCATGTAGTTGGAAATCAATTTCTAATGCTGACACTGTGTCTTTCTTAGATGGTCCCTTTAGTTTTTCAATAAACTTAGTTTTAGAAAAACTTTGAAGATAGCACGTTATAATAACATCTTACATTACTATAGTACATATATTAAATTAATGAAAAAAACAACATTGGTCTATTATCATTAACTGAAATTGATACTCTTCTCAGGTTTCCTTAGTTTTTATTTAATGTTTTTATTATTGCAGGAACCCACTGGTGTACCATAGTATACTTAGCATGTCTCCTTTGGTTCTTCCTGACTATGTCGGTTCCTTAGATAATTCCTGTTTTATATGATCTTTTTAAGGAGTGCTGGAGGAATACTTAATTGAATGTCCATTAATTAGGATTTATTTGATGTTCTTCCCATGAGTAGACTGGTTTAAGGATTTTGAGAAGGAAGAGCACAGAAGTAAAGTTCCATTCTCATTGCATCATGTCAAGAGTCTATGCCATTGACCTTACTTAACATGGTTAATATTAAACTTGATCATTGGCAACTCCACTCTAAACCTACTGCTTTTTCCTTTTTTTGCCAGACCATATTTTTAGGGAATAGAATAACTTCAGAAAGCCCAGACTTTAATATTTAGGAAGCATAAATATCAATGATGACAGGTTGGAGATGTCTATAAAAGATGAGGTTTGAGCTATACCTTGAAAAGGGGGTAGGTCTTCCATATGCAGAAGCATATGGAGTTATGCATAGGGAGTTATGCTTTGCTTCCTGAAGACCTGAGTACCCACATAAATTATTTGGAATTTTTCTTCTCAGAAGCTTGGTTTATTGTTTGCCCATTTATTTACTTATTCAATCACTTACTTGTATCAATATGGATTGGTGAATTCTTATTTTTATACTTTGAGTTATAATCCATACTATTGTATTTTCTGCAAAAAATTTTCCATCATTGGCATTGGGAGCTCTTTCAATTTGCTCCCATGTCCTTTTGACATATCCCATCATTTATGTGTATACATACGTCTATGTGTGTGTGTTAGCACTTGCTTGCTTTTTTTTAATACCTTTATTCTATTTACTTATTTTTATGTGGTGCTGAGGATGGAACCCAGGGCCTCGTACTTGCTAGGCAAGCACTCTACTGCTGAGCCACAACCCCAGCCCCAGCACTTGCTTACCTTTTGCCATTACAACATGTTCCGAGTTCATCTAGCATATTCCTTGCCTAAATTCTAGAGGCAAATCATTTCCTCAAGATACCTTGCTTCCTTTTGTTGAAAAATAGTGTTAGAAACCAAGAACTAGGCCCCTGAGCAGTGCTTATTGCTCTTAGAGTATGGTTCTCATGTGCCTCCTGAACTGACAGAACAGTTTAGTATAAGTGTGTGTACTAAACTTTGCTCTCTCACACACACACACATGCACAAATATATATATTTATAAATTTCCATGGTGCCATCTGTAATATGTATATTAAGTTAAATAACATACATGTTAAATTAAACATGAGTTTATTTTGATGCCTTCAACTCTATTCAGTTGCCACATGATTATTGTAAATTTCTCCACTTGCTTTTCTGTAACTCTCCACATCAACAGTGTGAAACCCAATTTCCATTATTCATCATCCTTTTCCTTAATTGTTCAATTTCAGTGTACATATGTAGCAGTATCAAAATTGCGAATCCCTGCCCCGTGAGAAGAAACGGTTACAACTGCTCTACAAAGCTTATATACAATGCCTCTTGTCTTTAGTTTTACAAATTACTAACTTCTGAAGTTGCTTCAGTCAACATTTTTCCCTACTGTCCTAAATGAGTTTAATTCACTCTTTTGTAATATAGTTAAATTCTTTTGTCACAGTTTGCATTCTATCCTGGGATTTGTTGATCTCCTAAATGATTTTGTTTTAATTTGCATATGCTAAGGTTTATTCTTTGTACTATAAAGTTCTATGGGTTTTGACAAATGCATTATATCATGTATCTACCAATACACTAGCATACAAAATAGTTTCACTGTCCTGAAATATTCCTTGAATGTTATGTATTCAATTCTGCTCTCTCATGGAATGTCACCAACCACTGGCCTATTTACCAACTCTAGAGGTTTATTTTTCAAGAATGTCATATAAATGAAATCATAGAGTAGACAGCCTTCCAGACTGATTTCTTTCACTTAGTAATATGTAGATGAAATTTGTGCATTATTGTTGCATAGCTTGATTGCTTATTCCTTATTACTGAATAGAAATCCATTGAATGGATATAAAACAGTTTGTTTAAGCTTGAACCTACTGAAGACAA